CGGAACCAGCTCTGAGTTGGGGCGTTCCTTCAAACCAGGCGTCCACTATCGAGACACGTCCTTATCTCTGACAGGAGTGGCTAAAGTTGGCTCTGGGGACACCCTAGGTTTTGAGATCCTCTCTCCTGCTCAGTGCAATGTACGCTTCTTTGGAGACGAGACCGGCATCAGTATCCTCAGCTTGGTTTGGGTCCCTGCTGCTCTGTCTTCCTCTCTGACGGCATCAGTGTCCAACTCCGGCCTACCGTCAGGAGCAGTCCGGAACAAGCCGCTGTTCTTCCGCCAGACCAGTGCTCAGCTTTCTCAGATGGGGCTGTTAGGGAAAGGTCCAACAGATCAAAAGCGAGATTTTGTTTTCAAGGAGAGCGGCACAGTCAGTGTGGCTATGGATCTCAAACTCATACATTCCTGCAACCTGGTCAAGGTGACTCTTTTAAAGCGTAACGATCCGGATGGGTCAGGAGGAGGCCGAGAGGCGGAGGGAGTGCGACCCGTCCCTCTGGCCCAGCAGGTGGCTGGTCAGATGCCTGAGGGAAGTCGTTGGGCCAGTGTTAGCCTGCGGGCGTCCTTCCAGGTTCATAACGGTACAGCTGTGTTCTTCACACTTGACTGTGTACGCGGACGGGTCAACCAGATCAGCTACCAAACAGGAAGTGGAGTGTCGATCCTCTGGGTAGCAGCGTAACATCAGAGAGATCACCGTGTTGTTCCAGTTCAGTAGAAGCTAAGCCATTTATATGATGGACATTTTTGATTAGTTTGATTTAATAGGCATACAGTAGTTAGATTGTTTGGGAAATACGCTTATTTACTTTCTTATGGGGAGTTACATGAGATTATCTATATCATTCTTATATATCTGTCTGTTAAATATCAAGCTACTGCCAGCAGCTTGGTAGCTTAAACACTAGCCCGGCTCAGTCCAAAGGTAAGAATACCTTTGAGAATACAGGTAAACATGTGCTTATTAGCACTTTTACGATCTTGAAACCCACTGGATATCGGTCTGACTATCGATCTGGCTATTTCTCGGAGAGACCAGTGTAGCCAACAGATACAGTATCTTGCCAACTTACCCTTTCTGCACTACACCTTGTTTACAGTCAGATAAGCATCTTCAGATGCAAGACTGCAGTTGAGAGAGCCAACTTGTATGACTCAATTGTGTCACAAGAAGCCAGTTTATAAGCTAACTGTAAGCTAATACAAAAACGAAATTGTTGCCAGGTGTCTGCAGATGGTTTCTGAAATTGCATTTTGGCAAATACATTCTGCTTTTTTATTCTCCAATTGAACTGTGTACCTGCAATTAAGGACCATTTCATATCTTCTCATCTAACTTTTGTCAAGAGAATAAATAGGCTATTTCCAAAACATTGAACTGTTGCTTGAAGCAGCTTGATTTTGTAGTGAGTAGCCTACAGCTCATTTGATTTTTATTTGTATTTTGTGCAAAAAAAGTAGCATTATTCATCAACCTTATTTATATCAATGCAAGTTTAAGTGTAATTATTTCGTAATTGATGGCTCTAAACTATTTTCTCACACTTCCGAAATTGTATTTGCTGTATTTCTCCCTTTATTTATATAATGTTACTCTGTTGACTCTAATAGATCTTCAGCTCATTCCCACTGTGGCTACAGCATTGTTTGCTGTCACTAAAAGCAGTTAGCTGCTGGTTTCATTCAGGAGTGTTTTTTAAGAGCATGTGTTTCATGTTAGCCACCATTTTCTAATGTGAATTTATACTGCATGCCCTGTTTAATGACCACTTTTCTGCATATTATGGACTTAAAGACAATCATATGTTTCACTAAGGCCAGGTGTAACTGTCCTGGAGAGATAGTATACTATCTTCATTATTTACACCGTAAGATATAGTTAATGTTTACTCAAAGCAAACTGTAATAAAGTGTATATTTGATGTTTTATTTGAAATCCAATAAATAGTTTTGCCAGATTGTGTGTTGCTGTCTCTGTGTAAGAACCAGGGTCTGAGAAGTAAAGCCATTGTGGAAGTGACTTGAAATGAACTGGAAGGGGCCGCTTTGACTGTACGCTAAAGCAGGTCAGATTGAATAGAGGACTCTGAGAAAATGACCATACTTTATATTTTTTGCACCTTTTTTATCTGTTTGACGAACTCAACCACTCGTCGAAGAAAACGGGCCTGGAGTCTAACTCATCATGTATCATCCGACTTGTACAACCCTAACAACTTTAACAACCCTTTTTATTTTTGTCAAAGCAGAATCTGAATTTTAACAAAAGGTTAATACAAAATATATATTTCCTCTTTAGTAGTTTGTAGTTATAGTACTTAACTGTACAAAACAAGCAATTTGACTAATCACTATATGCAAAGATGCAAGCTAAAGCTAAAAGTAGTTCAAATAGTAATACATGAATTTAACTACCACCACTAAGCTAATGTTATGTAATGTTAGGGAAGTTGTAGCGCTGGGACTGACATAGCTGAGTAGCTGTTTTTAAGACTTTCATCTACTTGCCACATGCTAATTCTACTGATACTATAATCAAGCATTGACCTTTATTAGCAAGCTTTAGCATTAGCTTTTAAAGTATTTGGCTAATTAGGACGTAGCTGAGAGTTATAGCTCGGCTTTAGTAGTAGCCAGGCCTATTTTGTAACCACAAACTGACAAACCTTATCACATTGTCATACTGTATGTTTTTTGGATGGTGTCTTGTCCTAATAATGGGCTTTTCCTCACGTGCCACAGTTAGCAACATGGTGACTGAATTGGATAAATTTGCTCCTAGCAGAAGCTGCCAGATGTTTCCTATTAAACATCAAAGAACAGATCCTTTATCATGAATTTAAACAGTTGAAATTATATTAGCCGGGTAGTTAACCTCAAAATGGCTTTCCTAAACACGCCCAATGACAACCCCTCTCCTTCCTAGTGTGCTGCTCTGCTTTGGCACAAGATCAAAAAGCATATTATGATCCGGGGCATATGTTCTATGAAAACCAGTAGACCAGTTGATGTTGTTATTCCAGCCTTAGAAGTTATGACCCCCAGGTTACTGTGTGCTATAGATTATTCCATAAACCATGACTTTTAGGGGATTAGTCCATTAATATGCAGGTTTGTGTCATGAAGGTGTAGGGATCAAAAGAGTGCCGACGCGACCATTTCCACATTGTCCCACTGTCTGATTTCCTCTAGTTCTAGGTAGCTTGACCAGACCTTTGCTACGAATAAAGCATGAGCAGCACAGTGAACTAAACCTCAGTCTTGTCAAGACAGAAGACAATAAGCAGAGGTAGGTCGACAAACAGAAGAGAAAGAAAGCATATCTTGAGACAAATTGAAAACACCCCCAGGCTGATGGATGACTTGCTGGGAGGTACTGTGGTTTGACAATGATAAACGCTCAAGGAAAAAGGTCAGCGCCTACAGTACAGAGAGTGGAGCACTGTCTGGCAGGACAAATTGCCCTTACACATTAACACTCTGGATAATAGAGTACAGATGGAGGAAGGTGTGTTGAGTCGGTGTGGATGTGTCTTTAAGCAGTGAATAGGTTTGCCTGTAAGAAAAAACAGAGGTTTATGTTTAAGCCATACTTGTTCTTCTAGATACTTTATTACATGGCTTTTAGACTTTAGTTTAGGATTTTAAACAATTTCCCCGGCCTCCAAATGCCAAAGCAAATGTATTTAGTGTCATTAAACTATTTTAACTTTCCATAAGAAATCATTTAAAGATAAATGGTCAATATTTGCATCATGGTATTTTTGGGACTGTACAGAAATTGGTTTGGAAGGACAGTCAGGGAGGGGAGTTTGACTTATTTATTGATATGTTATTTCTAGTTTTTCTTCTAGAAATAATTGTAAAAAGAAAGACAATCAAATGTAAAAAACATAAGCGTATATGCTTTCATGTTTCTTTTTTTTAAAGTATTTTTTCCTATTGGTGCTGTGTAATGCTTTTTATTCTAAGAACACGGCAGTTGTTTTCCAATAAGGGGATTGTATTTTCATTCTTTTAAGATAAGGCACTTTTATTCTTATTGCAGTTTTTTCTTATTGGAGGAGGGTAAGGCATGTTTTCTGAAGGGCGGGTGTTCGAGATATTCCTTACCCTGTCGGGTCCTGCTTTGGAAAACAGCTAAACTGAAAATTCTACCCCCCTACCCACCCAAATAATTTTCCTACAATCCCTTTGTTTCTATTAAGACATTAATCAGGAACATGTTGTAATAGAATTTGTTTCCTTCCAAAAATCACAATATTTAGAGACAAATATTTCTCAAAAGGGAGTCTGACACGTCATACTTGAGTCCTTACACTGCATGGAATCCACCCCCCACCTTTGTCTGAAATGAACAGGCATGTGTGGTGCACACCGCCTTCAGAGCATGAGCGAGCAGCAGGGCTACATATGGCACACAGACAGTGAACATACAGGTAGCAAGAATGTGCAGGATGCAAGTGTACTCGTAACCTTGCCCTTGATACAGAAACAACCATTACATCAAGGAATGTGAGGGAGAGGAAGATACAGAGAGAGGAGTGGGAGAAAGAGAAGAAGAAAGCCGTGGGAATGAACGTGAGAATTTAGCTGCTCCTGTGTCAGTGCATCTGGAAGCAGTTCTCACTTGTTTTGAACTTTTCTTCTCCTCTACCCGCTTTACAGTCGCCCAGAGGCGTCCCACTGTTTCTGCGCATAAGTCAGAAATGTTTTGGGCTAGATATTATAAAAAGCAACTTTTATGTTGCTTTGGATCATAGGCCAGCACCACAAACATTATAAAACAGAAACACATACATTTTAGTTGACATAAGAGCAAATGGTTATTTAAAATGAGTAATACACATCATAATACGTTACAAGCACAATACAATAATAACATAAGTGATTTCACTGTGATTTTAATAACTTGCATGTCATTTCTTCCTGAGATGCACCAGGTACTAAATGGTGGTGCAATGCTGCCCCCTACAGGAAATAAAGATAATAACACATTTTGGGTGAAGTTATTTTATTACCACTGGATAATAATGCCATTACAACAGGTTAACAACAACCTCTTTCATATAAGTTAGTCTTCATTTGCTATATGGCAATACAACAATGTATCATATTTATTTATAATGCTAGAGTAATATAGTATAGTTGGTTTTGAATAAAGTGTGTTGAGATACAATTCCATACATGTAGTTCATTATCAGCGTTTGTACTATGGGGTTAGAGCAAAACCTATGTTTTTTAAAAATATTAAGATCATCTAATAATCTTTAAAGCACATTAAGTCAAGTTTTACACATGTATTATGTAGGAGTTTAACTGTAGTAAATGTTAATGCAGTAAATGAGAACAGGAAACTGTCTAATAAAGTGTGTAAATGTAAGAGGCAGGATGTTAGCTTTGACTTAAAAATAAGACTACAAACAGTTAAAAATCCCTAATAAAAAACTAGGGATGTAGCTACAAAAACCCGACACTGCATACTTGAAGAGTTGAGGCTTATGAAATCAGGTTTTATTTATGTATATTAAATCCTCTACTTTTTCAAATTCGGCACTTAAGTGTTGCAACACAAAATAAATTGCATCGCCATCATCTTCTGAAAGGCATATTTGAGGCTATTACAGTTATTAGAAATGAGTAAGGTGACAAATATAAGAGAACATGTCGTTTATGCTGACCTACAACTTAAATGTGAAATGTTTATTTAAAGCTGTCGAGTGTGAATAAAAAACACTATTTATTTAGATAAAAACATTAACATTAACACATTCCTGACAATGCTGTCATAATATTGTCAAAAAAGGATAAGAAACATTCAAAGCACCTTGACAGTAAGAGTGTAATGTTCTTGTCAAAACTGTGTATTTAAACGCTATGAATGTTCACCATGTGTAAAATACTGTGTAATTTGTTTTTGGAGGAGGAGGAGGAGGAAGAATGAGTGGGGAGAGATGTTGTCCCATTGGTTAAATAAGGCATTGAAACCACACATTATGTAATAATTCCACAAAAGGTAACACATTTTATATTGATTATGTAATAATTTCCATATTTTTCTAAACATTTTCACACATTTTGCAATAACTTAACACATATTGTACTGGTTATTACAAAATGGAGGAGTTGACATTTTCTTTAATGAAAATGTAATATGTGGATAATATAATAACAGAGCAGTCTTCCTCCTTCCTGCGCATGTTTCAAGGAGGATTGGTTTGATTCATACTTGAATGGATAAAATGGACATTGTTGTTATGATTGTGTACAATTGTTTATGAATGAAGACATCCATTTTGTTTTGGTTATTACATAATTATTTTTAATGGTAATTGCAACTTCCAGATGTTGCCTTAACCCCTGCAAATCTGTAGTAAATCATTTTGACATGTTTGTAATATATTTTAGAAAATTATTCTTTTCATATTGTGTCCAGATTGCAGCAAATAATTACAATAATTTCTGCAGAGTAAAGTGAAAATGTATTAGATTTTGTTTAGTTATTACATATGTTGTTCCAGGCCTGTAAGAAGAAGAGATGTTTTAGTGCAGGATTTCGATGAGGAGGCGTTTAAAGTCTCCACCGCACTCTGAATCCAGAGCGTCTTTCAGGGTAACGTCGTATTTCTCCAGGTACATGTCCTTCACTGTCTCCAGGTCGAACTGTGGGGTTAACAACATAACACTGCCGTCACAACAAATCCTTTCTTCTTGGTTATTTAGTTTTTAAAATTGAGCACATTTTTTGACTTGCCTCAGAGCGGCCTACAATGATGCGAATGAGCGTGTCCTCGTCAGTGCCCGCCCCCTTCATGGCGGCATTAAGGCGTCGGGCAAAATACAGCTGCGGGTTCTTAGCACACCTGACTATAAAACAAACACACACAAGCAGCAGGTGTTATTACAAATAGCCTACTGACTTTTGATTGGATAAGTCATGGCTTGCGAACATCGCGTTAAAGTCCAACCTACCTAGAGTAATGTAGCATTCTTTGAGAGTTCCTGTTGCTTCAGAGTTAATGGTGTCCAAAATGTCAGTCCCTGAAAGCTGCAAGGGAACAAGTAATGTGAGAACTTAGACGTACAACAGTGATGAAAGCCCAGATGAATTGTTTAAAAAGTAGCTTGTTATTGCAGGAATGTGAGCAGTTCTTACCGACTCATAGATCTTAAAGGTGGCCTGAAGCTGCATGTAGTTCCTGTGAGTCAGGATGAAGTTGAAGGTGGTCTCATCAGTGCCAAATCTGCCTTCTCCTGCCTGACGGGGATAAAAAGAGTACATTAAAAGACAGCATTGGTGTGTTTTAATGCCATGTCAAACAAACTTGATCTTATTTTTGTTAGTTCGGTCATTGTTTCTATTAGTAATACAGTACGTTTCGAAGGACAGTCAGGAGAATGGGCTAAACACATTTTACTTATACAGATCACCATGGAACTTCCCCAGTTTTCACTGAAATTAAGACAATCACTTTTGTATTAAAACTTTTCTGAAATACTCTGTTCAATGCAAATGAGGCATTATCTAATGCAGTGGTTCCCAAACGGTGTGCCGCGGCACACTGGTGTGCCGTGAGGCAAGTCCGGGTGTGCCGTGGGATTTTGTGACAACCATACGTTATTATTGCAATATACAACTACACAAAAATAATTATTTAATTTTAAATTTACTATCAGTACTTTGTAGCTTTATATGTACGTAATCTGCGCGACTTGTGCGTCCACATCTCCACGTGCAGTGCTGCATAAACATGGCTGAGTCAGCGATAACTTTCGAGGGGTGGAGGTATGTCCATTATTTTGAGTTCGTCCGAAGAATAGACAGGAATGTGACGGTGAGGTGCAAACTGTGTCCAGGCCAGAAGCTGTTATCCACTGCTGTAAACACCACGTCAAACCTCAACAAACACCTGCAAAGAACACATGCTAAGGTGAAGCTACCGCACACGCTATTTGTTGTTTGTTTATATCACGCATATCTTCTTCTCTGTCTTCCGGTTGTTGCCTGTTTTGAATGACAAATACACACTACCCGCCGCCTGCTGGTAAGGAAAGTTATTGCCACTCACGCATGTGCAGTTCGTACGTGCTCGAGTAAAGTAACGAGTAAAGTAACGAGTAAAGTAACGAGTAAAGTAACGAGTTACTTTATGTAGCTAGTAACGAAGTAGTGTAATATATTACTTTTAAAAAAAGTAATATGTAATATATTACATTTTTTTAGTAACGACCCCATCTCTGGAGTTGGCGTTCTCTACTCTGGTTTACATGAAGAACAACAGGAGGTCACGGCTCTCTGTTGAACAGGACTTGCGAGTGGCCCTCTCCTCAGTGCCACCAAGGATTAAAAAAATCTGCGCGCCCCGACAGGCACATGTATCTCACTAATTTGTAAATCGGCAAAATATTTACAATAGCACATGTTTCAATGCTGATTGCTGAAATGTTACATTTATAATTTGTAGTTCAGGACCATGGAAAATGCAGCTTCCTTGCATTGACAGTTCTCTGTGCTGAATTTCTGCTGAGTTTCCTTTGCCTCATTTTTTATTTTGTGACCCGTCTGGTTTAAATGAGTGTGTTGCTGCTTTGATGAAGCCTAATTTGATAAAGTTTCAAATTAATTTCTGAAATATTTCATGAGTAATATAGTTGTCTTTGTCACATTTTATTTGGCATTAGTAAATAATTATGCACATTTACAGATATTTTACATGATATGAGTGATAACACGTGTTATAAGGGCTAGGTGTGCCTTGAGATTTTTACTTGTCCTTTGGTGTGCCTTGGGCACAAAAAGTTTGGGAACCACTGATCTAATGCAATTTTTAGGTACATTTTTAAGAAATCTACAGGCCAACTAGACAGGTTTGTAAAATAATCACCCAATGTTTAATCGGATATATTCCTTCCACTAGTCAGAAAAATACATTATTATCCACACATAATAGCCAAAACGTTTTGCTTGTACAGTAGTGTTACAACATATGGAACCTCATTATGATATGGTAACCACATAGTATCCAACCATGCTAGCAGCTCTGTGATGTAGCCTACTAAAAGAAAGCAGCCATTTAAGCTAATGCTAATGTATTTTTGCTCATCAGGTATTATTTGTATCCAAGTCCCCATCTTAGGATGTTAGCATGAGCAAATTAGCACCAAACACAAAGCCTGGAGCTCATCATTGGAATGTCATTAGTTTAAAAGGTAGTTTGGTTGAAAATACCAAAGAAGTCAACAAATCTAAACGATCTGATGATTTCAAATGATTTATCCTCTGGGGAACAAGAATGTGCATCCCAAATTTGGTTACAATCCATTAATAGTTGACGGGATATTTCCGTGTAAGGGATGAAAGATTGGGGCAACAGACCACAATTTCCATCCCTAAATTCCAGATGCTAGCGTGGTTAAGAGAACTGACTAAACCTCATTGTAGTATGTGAGATGTGAGGAAATGCAGACAATCTCGCAGATTCCTGTTTCTGCACACACTTGCTATTGTATAGTGTGAGAGTGATACTTCAAATATGAAGCTCCATGTTCACAAAGATCCAACAATCCATTACTGTAGGAAAAGCCACACTGCAGCAATACCACAAAAACAAGCTTGATTTATTAAATCTTGCCATCCAAGCCTTAGATCACGTTACATTGCAAACACTGGGGTTATTCAATGGGCAAACTATGAATAAGGCTACTAGTTCAAAGGGGAATTATGAAGCATCTGGGAACGTACCTCAACCAAAGATGTGGCATCCTGTTCGGCTAACTCCTCATCCACCTCATAGCCTTCGTCTCTACTCGCCTTTAGAGAGGAAAAGAGGGGGACATGGAGAGGAAGAAGACAGGTTTAAGAGGAGGGATCAACGAGGCGAAGCATGTAAAGTGAGGTTAAGACTCAGAGAGTTATGGAAAAGTCAAAAAGACAGGTTGCAAATGTAATCTTAGGCATTTAAGGGATAACAATCATCTGCTGCACATCAATGGGAAATATTTGAAGGCCTCTTTGGATAGGAGGTCACGCTGTGGAACGTGAGTCACACTGTGTTTGTCTTTCCTTTCTGCGGGAAAGGAAGAGAGAGGGGAAGCAGAAAGGGTGGGAGGGCGGAAAAAGCTGGCACGGAGGCAGCAGCATGCCGATGATGGGATGTTTGACAAATGTCTCAGTGGGCGAACCACAGCATGGAGAACAATTGTGCTTCCATTATCAGAGGAAGAGAAGTGGTATTGTTCTTCTCTTCATGGCTTCCATCCAAATTCAAGACTTCCACTTAATTGTTTTTCAAAACGTGGTCTTTGTTTACTGCAACTTTCCTTTGGTACTATAAATGTTGCTAAGCTTTGTTGATGGTTAAACTGGACTTTACCTGCAGCAGTGACGTCAGCAGGTTCCTCACGTCTCCACTGGTGTCATCTTCAATGTCTGCATCCAGTTCACGCTCATGCACTGTAAGGTAGGAGGGGAAAACAGTCAACACTTAAAACATACTGTGAAGTGAAGCTAAATGAAAACCGCACGCTGTTAGGACATTTTTAGACGACCAAAAGGTTACAATTAACTTTCCTGAACAAAAAAAAACACGGTGAAAAGGTTACAGTGTTAAGACTAAACAGACCCTAACCCTTATTCTAACACCCTGGTAGGGACTTTTCAATCACAAGGAAGCCCTAAAGCATTAGCTGCCATATTTTCAACTTAACTAGAAATGGGACTATCATTTACAAAATGAACATCATGCTGTATTGAAGAAGACTTTAAACTAGTGATGGAGACCATACACTTATTGAGGTATCAAATCAAGCAGAAGTAGGGTCATTTTCTCAGACTTATATTGAATTGACTTTTTTTTTTCAAACCCCTTTGTCAGCCCCTGGTGGCTATCAAACAGAATGTAAGTTTAAGACACTTATGCATTAGCTTCTGGAAAAAATATATATGAAAAAGAACATAAAAATAACAAGGTGTACGGTGAAAATGTGTCTTAACACGGGATAAAAATAAGGTTATTGAGAGCTTAGTTATTTTGCAATGAATCAACTGTGATTCTGACGAGGATAACATCACACTGTGTTTGTGGCCAGTGAAAAACATGAGGAAAACATATCTCATGACTCCATGACTCACCCCCAAAACTGAAAACGCCCACAACATTAGGACAAATATAAAACTTAGTATGTATCTGTTCCGCATGCTGGTTGAATTATCACTCTTTCCAGTATGAGAGGAACCTCAGATTGGTCGCTGTATATAAATGATTCAGACTGAAAGAGAACTCACCAGCGGCGTAAGTCTCCTTGTAGCTCATAATGTCCTGTAGAAGAGGCAAACAAGAGGATCAACATTTTTACATTTGAAATGGATCATATGTGTTATATACAAATAGGTCACTTTGAGTTACAAACCCCAAGATAATTATTCCCCCATGACTGGAAAGTCATTTATACAACTTTGGATTTAACTGTCTGTTATGGCATATTTTATAAACTAAGGATTTAACAAAAGGTTAGACAGGGCAATTATGTGGAGAGCTTTTGAATTACAACATTGGATATCTGCTCGAAGCTCTTTCTCACTTTATGGATTTTGTCAAAATGGAGGCCAAGCAGTGTTCTTTGAAAATCAGAAAAACTGCCACGAAGATAGACTCCATGTTAAATAACGCATACAGAATATAAATAGTTTCTAATAGTTCACCTGTAGAAATTGGGTACAAATAAAAACATGTAGTATCAAAGGATAATATCACAGATTGACCGACCTCATTGGTGGCCGTGCACAGGATCTCGACGAGCACGTCTTCGTCCGTTCCCGCCCCCTTCATGGCCTTCCTCAGCTCCTTGGCGAAGTAAACATTAGGAGGCTCCAACATGGCTATGGTGGCCTTCTCAAAACTACCTGTCAGCTCCTTCATAAGGACTTCCTCCAACTCCTGAACAGAAAAAGAAACAACTGCATTCACGTGTATGTGTAAATAAATGTAGGAGCATGAGAGAGGGAGTGTAAGGTACTTACGTCATCATACTTCTCAAAGTAGGCCTGCTTGATCGCCACACGCTGAGCTGCAGAGCGATTGGCCAGGATCTGAACAATGACTTCTTCATCCGTCCCTGCAGATTATAAAGCAGTAAATATCTTTTAGTAATCAGCCCATCGAATGGCCATTATCATTCATCATAGGGAGCATAGATTTAAAGTGGTATAACCCTACACTTCCTCCTAATTGGTTCTATGGGCTGCTATGTTTTATTGGTAGGCTGAATGACCACAAGAAGGTTGGAATTAAACCATACACTGTAGCTTGTGTACTTCGCTCTTCATCGGCCAATCGAAAGGGCAACAAAAACACTCCCGTTTGCTATCCTGGCTGTAAAATGGTGGAACAAGAACCCCATTGATAAAATGGAGAGCCAAAAGTTTACAGATCTTACTTCACAGAATGAAAATCCACCTGGATTGACTGCGAGTTGCCCAATAATTTTAAAAAACTGCAGCACTTAGAAAGGTTTCGCTTGGCTGAATGCACTTATTGTCACTTGCTTCAGCTAAATGAGATGTAATACAATTATGGGAGCTTCACCATCAAGGCAGTATTTTACTATTATAAGACTTCTTAGAGCCTAACATTTGAAGGCAGTTTCTATGTCTTGTCACCCAACCATAGAAGTATATTATTAAAATGGCAGCAAGGCAGACATGTTTCTGGTAAAATCAGAAATACAGTTTTTCTGCTTTGAAAATTATCATTCAAATATGTGTACTAAAAATGGTAAGGTAATTAAATACATACAATTTCTGCTTTTAATTATAATTTGTATAATTGGTAATTTGATGTTGTTTTATCTGCTGGTTATATTTGTCTCGCTACAAGGACAGTTGTAATACAAAAATAACTGATCAAATAAGAGGGAAGTATTGCTGATATTGATAGAACAACACTGCTGGCCTTAAAATGTTCTTTGTGCTGTGTGGCACCAGTCTGTTAACTTCTATCTTCAATTTATCTGATAACCTTTCTGATTAATTCATTATATATGTGTGGATCCATTGTAAATGCACAATGGATGCAATAATCACACACAAATAGAGAAACCAAGAGACTAAATTATATAAATGACTGAAGAGAAACAACAAATTGCACAGTTGAAGAAGAATGAGACTACACTATTCATACTTACCGAGACCTTTACAGGCTTTTCTGATAGCCTTGATATCAGCAGTGACATCAAAATCCTCATATGGGACAAGGGTGGGCTAGAACAAAAAGTGATATGATCATTACAAAAAAAGAAGATACAAAACATAAAATAAAAGCAAACATATACAACTACACACACCGTTAGGATCATGTATCCTATAAGTACTCAGATCATGTACTTTAGTAAAAGTAGAAGTACCAGAGTGTAGGAATACTCTGTTACAAGTAAAAGTCCTGCAAAAGTAGACAAGTATTAACATCAACATATACTTAAAGTAATTCTACTCATTGTGCAGATTGGTCCATTTCAGAATAATATGTTTTGATTATAAATGTTGATGCATTTAAGTGTAATCAAAGCTAAAGGTTTGAATGACTTTGTATACTGCAGGGTAGATTGTGAATTTACTCCAGGTGGAACTAAAGTCTGATTTAAGAGATGATTATATTTCACATCATTTATCTAAATCTGCAAAAGAACAAGAGGTACAAAAAACTGTATTGGAGCAAAAGTACACAATTTACCTCTGAATTCTAGTATTCTACAAAGTAGCATAAAATGGAAATACATGTATCTCAAAATTGTACGTAAATGTAATTCACAGCTCTGATTACTGATTCTATACACTGCAAACTGATGTCAAATGTCAAATGAAATAACAAAGAAGCTAGAATCCCAGTGAAGCATGATGACACAGTGAGGTTGTAAGGGATCATCACAGGGCCTGTTAGTAGGCCGGTCTCCCGCAGGAAAAGGGTGCAGCAGCAGGCTGATCGCTGAGTCATGCGGCAGTCTGTGGGCAGCCTCCTCTCCTCTCCCCCCCCCCCCTCCGTTAGCACGATGCAGCCTTATTGATCAGCCTTTCCGAGAAATGCCTCGTCCCTTTTTATGCTGCTGCCCAGGCCTTACAGGACTCACTCCATTTGCTCGAATAAACTGCGCAACTTCTGCCTCGCAGCTGTCAGAAAGTGTTGTTTACATCTCCTGAAGTAAATAACACCCTTAGAATAATCTCCCGGACGCTGCATAAGTGATCATCACAGTAAACTGGATCGTTTCAAAGCATTAAAAGTGGCTGATCCTCCATTTTACACTAATTACAAATCTAATGTTGTTTTTAAAAGTTGGGAAATCCCGTTTTCTTACCTGCACGTTCCCCATTTTAATCCAAGATCGCGCTGTCAAAAGTGACTAAGTGATAAATTAGTGGAAAGCTGTGATGTTGAGCGGCTTTGCACTGGATGTGATGTGTCAGTCCGGTCGGTTGTTCGGTTGTTCCTGGAGGACGCCCTGTCCGGTGCTGCAGGGTGACGTCACTGCCGCTTGTTCATTTAGTGTGTGTGGGGGGGGGGGGAATAATTGTTTGCAGATTGAGAAACTGTGTCATCATAACAACACGTGATCCTGGAGTTGTGTTATAAAATAAGATGGACCTTTATTACTCCCCGTGGGGAAATTCAGTTGGTCAAGCAGCATCAGGGTAATCGTGAAAAACAGGACAGCACAGATTCACACAGATTAATAAAATAAAAAATAAAATCAAGAAAACAAATTAAAATAATAATGATAATAATAATAAAAGACTATGAAATAGGAGATGAGTAAAAATAAGAGTAAAATAACTGTCAGCATATATACATATTTGGTCATGTAAATTATGAAGTACGAAATGAGTTAAAGTGACAAGTGAAAATGGACATCTGTACATATAGTGACATACATATCTACATATTTGGTCTACTACTAATATATTAACATGGGTTGTGGAAACAGTGTATATTTATGTCCAGTGATTTTTATTTTTTTTTACATTATTGACCCCTCGTTGTGCAACCTGATGGCTACAGGCACAAGGGACTGTCCGAGGCGCTTGGTGCGTTGTCGTGGAGGGATGAGTCTGTGGCTGAACGTACTCCTCATCTTCACTAGCTCTGCGTGGAGTGGGTGGGAGGGGTTCTCTAGGATGCTGTCGAGCTTCCTCCTCGTCCTCCCCTCTGCCACCTCCTCCAGATTGTCCAGTTGTACTCCAACTACAGAGTATAGCCTTCCTCACGAGCTTGTTCAGCCTGCCAGTGTCCCTAGTGTTTGTGTTTCCACCCCAGCACACCACGGCAAAGAAGAGCACACTGGCCACCAGACTGGTAGAACATCTGCAGCAGCCTCGTACACACGTTGAATGACCTGAGCCTCCTCAGGAAGAACAGCTTGCTCTGTCCCTTCCTGAAGAGGACATCAGTGTTGTCTGTCCAGTCCAGTTTATGGTTTAAGTGCACTCCCAGGAACGTGTAGCTGTTCACCACCTCCACATCCTTCCCCCTGATGGTGATGGGGGTCAGAGGCCTCTTGCTGCTCCGCCTGAAGTCCACCACCAGCTCCTTAGTCTTGCTGATGTTGAGCTGGAGGTGATTGTTGTCACACCAGCCTACGAAGTTCTCAACCAGGGCCCTGTACTCCTCCTTGTTGTCATCTGTGATGCAGCTGACAATGGAGGAGTCGTCAGAGAACTTCTGTAGGTGGCATGAGCCGGAGTTGAAGCGGAAGTCGGAGGTGTAGAGGGTGAACAGGAATGGTGACAGCACAGTTCCTTGGGGGGCTCCGGTGTTGCTCAGCAGCACATCAGACACGCTGCCCTGCAGTCTGACATACTGAGGTCTGCTGGTGAGTCTGTGATCTAGGCCGTGTTGAAGGCACTGGAGAAGTCGAAGAACAGAACTCTTAGTGAGCTGTGCGGCTTCTCCAGCTGTGTGGAGCATGTAGATGATAGCATCCTCTACACACCAATGTTTTCGTGGTAGGCAAACTGTAGAGGGTCCATGGAGTCACACACGAGGGGTTTGAGGTGCTGCAGAATCAGTCTCTCAAAGATCTTCATGACGTGTGAAGTAACAGACATATTTGCTCTTGTTCATTATCTCTGTAGAAATGCTTTCATTCAGTGTTTAAACCTCCATCCATCCATCCTCTCCCGCTTATCCGTGGTCGGGTCGCGGGGGTAGCAGTTCCAGCAGAGAGCCCCAAACGTTCCTTTCCCTGGCCACATCAACCAGCTCTGACTGGGGAGGCGCTCCCAGGCCAGCGAAGAGATATAATCCCTCCACCTGGTTCTAGGTCTACCCCTTGGTCTCTTCCCAGCTGGACGTGCCTGGAACACCTCCCTAGGGAGGCGCCCAGGTGTTTAAACATGACATAGCGATTTAATCGTGCATGTTTTCTTTCCCTCCTGATCATGTGCTTTTTCCTGAGGTACCAAATCCAGATAGCTATGTAATTGGCTGCTGAGCGTCAGATTGAGTAATCATGTGTTAGTGTGTTGCAGGTGTGCTTTCCTTACCCCTTATTACTTTGGTGGGCAATTTGGATGGGCAAGCATTTGGATTTGTTTTAGTTCAGGATATTGTGTTACACACTGCATATTCTAATCATATTTAATTTCCACTTTCAGGCTACAACTGTGGTTTATCTCATAGATAGACTGTCATGGTAATAGTGAGCTCCTTTTGTTGTTTGTTTGTTCATGTAGCTAGCTGTGGTTAGTGATGTACAAAACTGAACCAACTAGTATTTTTGAACAAATATTTGAGTGTCCGTAATGAACCGGTTAAGCCTATCTTTATCCAACCTCCAAGTAGTCATGAATCCACTTTATAATATCCAACAATTTAAGAAACAAAACAATAGGTTGCATTTTAATAATCCAAACTCAAACAGGATAAGCATTGAAGAACGTTGTATGTTTTATTTTAGTGGGTGATACTTGCAGTGTCACTGTGAACCTGATGGCATATTATGCAAAGAAATATACAAACTTAAAAGTTCTGAAAAGTGTGTTACATTTGCATATATCAACTCACAGGAACCGATACTGTGAAAATAGTCAGTTTGCACACCACTAAGTTTGATGCCATATTTATATAAATACATCGAGTACTCACTCCCACAACCCATCAGAGACTGCACCACCACCACCTTCAAAAAACTCACCTCTTCAATCTGGCTTTTAATGTGTGATTGTTTTTGTATTATTTGACTTTAACTTTAACAATATATTTATTTGTTGTTCCTTTCTTTTCACTATATCTGTAAAGCGTCTTTGAGCACCTGTAAACGCGCTAACAAAATAAATCTATTATTATTAGTAAAGTGAAGCCTTTATGGCTACATCTGACCCGGACTGTACCAACATATCGAGGGGTGAGAACCAGTGAGTAAGTGACATTTTGGTCAAAAATGAGTTATATATATCAAATGAAAGCTCTCAATGAGCTCTTTCTACGGCCAAAAGGGTGCATGTGAATTCAAAACCAATCCAGAGTTATTCATCAAAAACCAAAAGACCTAACACAGAACACACTGAACTATTTGGGGCCAAAAGGACATAAGTGCACTTACTCCCTTTTGGCCCTGAGAAATGTATTATGGGTAAAGCCTTTGGATAGCACTTGAGTCAAAATGGCTGACACCATATGTAAGCAAGCTAGGTCAACCATGAGAAGAAAGCTTTTCACTGCTGAAGAAGTGTTACTAAGCTTATTTCAAGATGCAGAAGAGCTTGATGAAGAGAATGAAATAATTCAGGATTAAAAGTCAATGCTGAGTGACAAAGGAAACTTAGTTTCTACAGATCCATCTTCAACAGAGAATTCAACTCATCAGAGATCAGCACATGCATGTTCCAGTATCTGTCAACTCTTTCAGGTACTGAGCATGTGGTGCTGTACTCTGACACATGTGGTGGGCAGAACAGGAATGCTGGTTTTAGTGCCATGTGTCTCCATGCAGTTAAAACCTTGCCCATCTCCATTAGTGTGGACACAGCAAGATGGAATGTGACAGTGTTCATGCAGCCATTGAGACCGACAGAAAAAAAGGGCCTTTGTACAGTTCGGAGGGGTACTACTGTACACTCTTGTGAGGATGGCAAGGAGGAACAGGCCATAGAAGGTGATTGAGCTTGGGTACAGTGACTTTCTGGATTTCAAGTCCTTCTCACAACACACTAGGGCTGCTCAATTATGGCAACAATCATAATCACGATTATTTTGGTCAATATTTATATCACGATTATTAAATACGATTATTCATTGACTTTGAAAACATCCATTTATTGAACTTTAAAAAATAAATAATAATTTGAACAGTATCTTTTTAACAGTTGATTACCCTGAACTTGTATATTTTTAACAGTTGATTACCCTGAACTTTAAGTATAACTCAACTGCAAAGTATTCAGCTGAAGCCACATCTTTTTTAACTTCCCCACTGCATTTGTCATATAGGGCAGGCAGTGCAGATCTGGTGAAATGATACCGAGATGACATCGCTTAACGCTTGTCCATAGTGTTAGCCAGTTGCTTAAACCCCTGGTTGCTAACCGTGCTAACCGGGCACATGTCTTTAGCTATGTAGAATGTGATGGCATCTGTTATATCTTTGTGTCCTTGCGAGCTGGTTGAGTAGGCCGTTGCACTGTAAAGTGCGTCCTTAATTGATGACTGATGTGGTGGATGAAGTCGAGGGGGCACGCTCGTGAACTGTCAACAGGGGGGCGGGGGGGGGCTCGCTGCGGGGAAACTGTGGACCTCGTTGCAAGCCAAAATCGTAATCGAGATTAAAATACGATTAATTGCACAGCCCTACAACACACGGTCCGAAACAGAACCAAAGACACAGAGGGACAAACAGTTCGTTGGCAGAAAATGAAATGGCTGCGCTACACAAAAGAGGATCCGAAAAGGATTCAGTTCAAATATGAGCTGTCTGACCAAACTGCAAGTTGGAAAGCAGGAGACCAGAGGTGCTCATGCAATTGAACCAAAGAAGATGCACACAGGTCCACCTGGGATCACTGCTGTGAAAAAGAAAGACGTACTCACACAAATGGGAGTATCCCTCACTCCTATGTGGACTTCTACCAGTCTTTGCAAGTCATTCAGGCAGAGTAGGCTAGTATGTCCTTTCAAATCAATCTGAAACGTACATGATCTGCATGAAATATGCTGTTGTCGTATATAATTATATTGCTATATTTGACATTCCCAATGTTCTAAAGTAGTTTTTGATTTGCCAAACAGTTATTAGGCCAGGTTTAATGTAATGTATTGTTATTCAGTGAACTAATGTGATATTGATATTTTATATGATCACAATGGACTCTGTAGCCTATTTTCAATCCGTTATTTGGGGAAATGGCTAAATAATTAACTATTTGGCAAAATGGTTATTAATGTTTTTTTTTTTTTAAATAATTACATTCAATGAACTAATATGATAAGGATATTTTCATATAATATTGTTATTATAACAATTGATTACGGTTACTTTTGAGTTGAGAT